GTTTTTTTTTTTGTTTTTTTTTTTTTTTTTATTTTTTTTGTGGGGGGGGCCCGCGCGCCTGCCGACGTACACAGATACAGCCTCGCATCGCACGATTTCAAGGCCGCGCGACCCGCACAGCCTTGCCCGCAGTCACGCGAGACAAGGCGGAGCGTACGGGGCCGCCGCCGCCAGAAGGGGCGGCGCACCCCCTCTTCCCGCGTCATACCGGGCGGTATGCAGCAGCACTGGCGCTGTATGCAACGAGCGCAGCTCCCCTCCTTCACGACGCACCTCGATCTCGTCGGGCGCCTGCCGCGCACGCGCGCGGCTTCTCCATAGTGGCGCACTCTAGTCACGCGTCCCGACTGGCAGGTGGTGTGCCCGGCGCCGCTTTTGAGATGGCGGCTGACCACCCTTCTACGTCTACACAGTGTAGACTCTACACTGTGTGGTCGTCACAGGATCCCTCCCGCGTCCTGGCCGCGCGCGCTGCGAGCCATTCCACTCTCTCCGCCTTCCGCTCTTTCCGGAAGCGCTTCGTTCCGTGCGATACTTCGTTTCGTGTGACGGGCCCCGCTAGATAGGTGCCATCACGCGCGGAATTGGGCGCATGTAGGGGGAAGGGAGCGCACAATCAGGACGATTCCATGATGGGAGGGCTGTGCTTGGAAGGAGGCGCGGTGCGGCGTGCGTATCGTTGAGGAGATTGCGGATGGAGCGTTGGTCGGTGCAGACTTGAGTCGACAACATGGTGGAACGATCAACGCCAGCTCCGGTTCTATGTATCCATGAGTTCCAGCTCAACAAACTGGTTGCGAGAGGGGCGAAGACGGATTGCAAGTCATGTAGACCTGCACCATTTACAGTATTTAGGTTGTGCAGCTTGTTTGTCCGACAGTATGTTGATACTATCAACATACTGTCGGACAAACATTAGTATGTTGATACTATCAACATACTAATCCCCTAATCCCCATACTGGAGCGGGCACGAATAGACCCCTATCAACTTGATAGGGGTCTATTCGTGCTCACTTGGACCGCTCCATGGACACGTGCACACGTTCCTCGACATGGCGTAAGTTAAAATTGCAGGGCAGAGTATGAAAGAGAGAGGGGCTTCTTCGAAACGGGCGTAGATATGCTACTGCGATGTAGTCGGCAAGTCGCACATCCGTATTGCGGCACGAAGGTTTCGCTCGGCTTGCTTCGGCCTTGTCAAGATTGAGCGCAATGAGGACAGTCGCCTTCGTGCTCCAAACTTGGGTGCCTTCCCACTGCCGCCCGTACAAATCATGGAACAATCGATTTGCTCCGACGCGATGCCGACGCAATGCCAGCGCAATCCCCAAAGTCTCACTGCCCTCCCTCGTACAGAATACCAAAAACTAAGCACTGGTTTCAGAGACCGATCCTGCAGCCTGCACAACGAGTACGGGAGAGTCGAAGCCGTGCGAGAACCGTGCTTCACCTCAACCCTTCCTGGGTCGCATCCGTAGCCCACGCGCCATTGCCAAGTTCTCCTGCTACGGCTCTCCCACCTATTGGTCAATCTTCACCTCCTTCCTTCCTCCCTAAAGAGTCCACCCCACTTCTGTTTCTTCCCCAATCAATACTCCCTAACTATATCAGCAGTTTTCGGAGAATCTATACTGGTGGGGGGTGGCGAGCACACCGAGTCCGTCCTTCGGCGCGTCCGTCGCGTAAACAGGTTGAAGCGCGACCCCGAGACGGGCGCGTTATCGAGGCTATCGTCCGCCTGGAACCACTCCGGGTCGTCGCGGTCCAGCCCAAAGTCGAAGTCCTCGCCATTCGATGTGAGCCCGAAGTAGAATGACTTGGGCCGCTCCTCGTCTGTCGACGAAGACGTCCCACTGCTCCTGCGGACGGCGTCCTTCACGAGGATGCCCGCGATGTCCGTTGGGGACACGCTTTTGAATGAGAACCGGACCCAGATGAGGAGGAGAAAGGCGAAAAGTAGCGCGATAAGCAGCGTCAGCCAGTTCATGCTGCGCGAAGTCTCGAACCACATCTCCGTCTTCTGCGACGTCCAGGTCCCTGAGCCCAACATCACGTCGTTGACGTCCGGGCCGGTGATGCGGATGCCAGCGGTCGCCTTAAAGATGAGACGCGAAAAGCTGAACACGGGCCCGGGCTCCACCGCGGGCATGTTGGTGACGGTAGTGACGTAGCGCTCGGACACGACGCGGTGGAAGCGCTCCTCCACGCCGCGCTTGACGACGCTGATCTCTGGCCCGGGCATGAACTTGGTCGCGATCTTGAGCGTGTTCAAAAAGGCCGGCGTCACGCGGGTGTCGTTGGTGTCGCCCTTGTACTTGTTGAACAGGAAGGCGACGACAATGCCGTGCACGTGGCGCATGCCCGCGAGGTTGTTCCCCTTCATGGTGCGCGTCGGCATGATGCGCTCCTTCTTGTCGTTCATGGTGTAGTAGGCCAGCGAGCTGTACTCCTGCGTCGTTTCTTCTGCAGCGCCGGCGATGGTTACGTTGTGGTTCATGCCGAACTCGTACAAGTCTGTGGATATGGTGAGTTTCAGTGGGGGAGCGTCCTCGTCGAAGCGACGCACGAACATCGCTGGCTCGAACGGCAGCACCGTGCTCGTGAGGCATGTGATGATCTGCGTGTCGCCCTGCACCACGCCTGCCAGAAAGACGGATCCGCATGGGATGTTGATGCTGATGATGGCACTCAGCAGACGGGGCCAGTCCGGGGCGACAGGCTGTGCGAGGCTGAAAGAGGCTGCGGCGTTGGTGACGGGGAGGTTTTCCGGGCTAGTGAAGAAGAGGATGAGGAACTCGGTGGTGAAGGTGGTGACGAGCAGGGCGATAGCGACGATGGCGAGGCGGGAGTTCATGGGGATGCGGCGAGCGACGGGGCCACGGCCAGTGAAGAGGTAGCGGACTCGGAAGTCGCGCGCGAGGTGCAGGAACTGGGTGAGCGAGAAGGCGTGGTTGGAGACGCGGTTGCCCGGGGCGACGCGGAGGAGCAGGCTGGTGACGGTCCCCTGCAGGCAGAAGAGGAGCATGAGCGACAAAATGGCGATGAGGATGTCGTCGCTGGAGGGGGTGAGGTCGGCCTGGAAGAGGCCCGTGGCGACCGGGGTGACGCGCATCTCGGTCTCGCTGAACAAGACGAGGTTCCGGAAGCGCCGCGAAGCGTTGATTAGGTTCGTGCGGCCCACAGGGACGAGCGACAGGTACGGGGAGGAGTCGTTGGTGGAGAGCTCGAAGAAAGTTGGCTTCATGGCGGGGGGGCGGGGGGAGAGGCACAGGTAATAGGTTAGGCGGTGGCGGCGTGGTGCTCGGTCGGAAACATAAGATCGGCAGGTGGGCTGATCGGAAAGGAAGGGCGGTGCGAGGTGAGGTGCGAAGGAGAAATGTTTGACGGTGGGAGGAAAGTGGGGGCCGCTGCTCCCGCGGTGGTTTCTCGTCTGGTGAGGAAAGAGACGGGGGAGCGGCATGGCTGTCATGGCTACGACGGGATATCCTCCCTGGATGCACTGTAGATTGCGCGAGCCAATGTCTGCTTAGGACAAGTAGCCGTCTCGTGCTGTGACGGCAAACGTGTCAAATGTCTGAAATGTTTATGACTTGTTTGTGACTTGTTTGTGCAAAATGATCCTGTCCCTCTTTTCACGTAATACGCGCAGTACCTACGAACCTCAACAGTTTCCTCACTGCCGACTCGTACGACCGCTTTGTACAGCGCCCATCTCTTCTTTCTGTGGAGCAGGGCACATTTCAAAACCTCACTTTCTCAACGGCAGATACGAAGTGACATACCGGAGCGAGCACAAGAGGCACTGGAAACTCATCCTTTAAACGCTCTTGACATCGATGCTGCACCAATCACGCGCACTGGAACCATTTGTGTATGTGCCCTTTGTGTGTACCTGATCGAAGCAAAGAGGCCTGCTTTTTGAATGCAAATGTACACCAGTACCTTTATACAGTGCCGTACTCCTCTTCGTCCAAGGCTAGCTAGAGGGACGTCTACATCGACATATCTCGCATACAGACTGTTTGCACCCACAGCTAAGTATTCCTCACCGTTTCCTCTTTGCCAAACACTCTGTCTCCGGTCTAGTAGTTATGCGCACGAGCTCAATTCACGCACATGTGATCAAACGATGTCGGCGAATTGGAACAAAGGAGTCACAAAAAATGGCTTGCTTGACGACGTACTGGTAAAAAGCTTTCCAGTTCTTGCGAAGATCGCGCTGCGAGAGTTGAAGATCGTTCTCAATCTTGACCTTGAGGGGCTCGGGCTTGAGAAGCTCGCAAATGTGTGCAACTGCGACTTTGGGATTTTCCGTCAGAAGCTT